GTCATGTCCATCCAGCAGCGAAGGACCTTCGCGGGGTGCGCACGTCAGCTGCTCTAGGAGTTCAACCCATTAAAAGGGCCAAAATACGGCGTTCTCATGTTTTTTACCTTCTGATACAGTGAAAACGGCTGTTGTAGGGGCCTCTGCTACTGCCTCTGTAACATTCACACTGGCATTGTGTACATGTTTGGACAGGATAAACAAAGTAGAAGTGGCTGAGAGCGGCCTACAAATTTACACCTCGGTTCACACGATGGGCGGAAACGGGGTAGGAGGCACGAACCTGAGTGACAAAAGTTTCTCGACGGCTGTGTGTGGTGTTGCCAGCGCGAGAAGTCAGCCACTACTGGCCAACGAACGCGCCCTTTATCTCCAGGCGCAGGGCGATTAAACAGTGACTGAAGCCGCACTCCTTGATCGCGTGATTTTCTACGGCGTTGAGCCTTCAAAAGGATCTTAAGTGTCAATAGAAGCGAAGAGACGAGTCACAGGAAGCAGTCTTGAAGAAGAAGACACGATCGCCGGGACAAGAGCTCTATTAGCCTGACGTTTCGGATTCCTGCTCGAATCCATCATCAGAGACAAAAGCAGATGATGATGGATTCGAGCAGGAATCCGAAACGTCAGGCTAATAAAGCTCTTGTCCCGGCGATCGTGTCTTCTTCTTCTTCAAGATCTTAAGTGTGGACTCCACTCTGTTCGACTTCGGCTCGCCCAACCAAGTGAATCAGCGGAAAGTGTTGCAGACCTTTGCTGTTTGGATGGTGTTCAGTTCTTCGCAAATTACCGAACTGCGCGTTCCTTCTCACTCGCACGATTGGACCCGTACTTATTTGCCCCTTTCAATACTCTTACGGCACAGTCAATGAAAATCAGTATTTCAAAAGCAATTTGCAATCAACAGAACATGGACCAGAGAGCGTGTTTTCGGCTGAGTAACTGGTCCAGAGGGAGAGTTAGTTTGTTTTATTAAGTAGAGTTCCCGATTTTGGCAGGCTGTGACTGTCCGAATTTCGTAAATTAAAACATGCTCTTTTAAGAAGAGTTCAGTTATTCAGAGTTGTCTTTTGCAACCATGCTTAGGATGTGATCAGCTTAGTGCCGATGCTTATACTTGGGTTGGGGAGACAGATAATGTTATAATCAAGAAACGTATACTTTTAATAACTCAAAAATAATAGAACGTTCCGAATGGAGAAGGCTTTATTTTGCTTCCTAAGTCTACAGAGTTTATTAAGGTAAAAGCTAATATTGTCCTTAGCACTAATGTGGAAACTAGCAGAATCAGTAGGCTTGCCGACAGTGACTTAAATGTACAAAATATTAAGCTTTCAAATTACGGCGGATACCCTCCCCTCAACGGTAATTACGAATCGCTGTCCTTCGAATGAAGAATCTTACATAGGAGGTTTGCCCTTAGACCGCTACTTTTATTGAAACGCAAAGTCTACTGACAACTTATTGTGGAGTATGTGATTTGTAAGGGTAGGCAGGCTCAACTATCCTGCGATATGCTGATACCGGACGGTTTAGATCACTTGATACTTGTTGCACCCAACTAAATCCGCAGAAAACGCTAAAACTCAGATTTTGTTTTTGAAAGGCAAATAACAACCCGTCCGGACGAGGCAGCGTGAGAAGTGACTCTAATTAAGTGTTTTTTAGGAAATGCATTGTTGAGTGCCACAAAAAGACTCCTAAGCTGCTGGTGCTGAAGGTGGAAGGAAAACAGATACCAGTCAGGAGGATAAATGTGCGTTCGTGCGTGCACATCGGGTAACTGTCAACGGAGTTCAGTTAAAAAATTAGCACAAATTTTTGAGCTTGGAAAGTAAGGTACACACACACACACGACAGTTCGTCCATCGATTTCGACGATGACCACCGTGTGCCCCACAGCTGCAGCAGCGGTGGGAGCAGGAACGGTGACTTGCGCAGGGGTTTATAGTGCCGGTAGACTTGCGCTGCATCTACCTACACTCTCTCCTCCTCCCCCGCCTGGGCCCGGTGTCAAGACAGAGTCAAGAAGACCGGAGACGGGGGAGGCCGCAGGTGGATGGTTCGGACGGATCCTCACCTTGGCGTTCCACCACACCCCCTGGTCCACACAACAATAACCAGGATTTCAACTAACACCACAGAGATTTGGAGGCTGGCACGGCCGAAGCCGCACCTGGGCGTGCCGCCAACGCCTGGCTCGGATCCCACACTGTGGTGGGAATGCCATAAAGGCCACATTAAAAAGGAGCCATTGCAGCCTGACTCTCAGACCG